CCTCTAGAAACTTTTGCAACCGTGTAGAACAAAAAAAGTCGGGTGAAACGGGCGCTGCTCAATTGGTCGGCATCTTCAAATTCTCTGCATCCCAGTCTTCTGAGAAGCTGCAATACTCCAATGGATAAAGGCTCGCCACCAACAAACACCCGAAACATCAAAATGAGCACGCTTCTTTGAGAGTTCCCTTTCTGAGGGTCCCGCATTGAAACTCGCACAAACCCATGTGGCAATTCAATGTGGTCCTATCGATGGGCCATAGTAAGCGGATGGCGCTTCTCCAATCTTCGTGCAATTCAGATGACCTCCATTGGTCATGTTGGTAGGTGGTTCTAATACGTGGCTTTGTGAGGGTCACAACAAAGCCTATATGGGTGTGTCCTTAATTTTGGGGACCCAAAAAAAGTGTTTGTTCTTTTGGTTTCCCGTTTAACCCGTTCAACAAAGAAAGCCTGCAAACAAGACGAGCCACCCTTTTAGAGCTTCGCTGTCCATTTTATTAGAACCCATGGGATTTTGGGGTGCTGCTCTCACACGCCAAATACCATGCAGGGGCCAATTCTTGCGGGGTAGTGCATAGCAAAGGACGACCCCTCTCAAACAAATTGAAAGGGAGGCGGAGAACAGGGAAAAACCTAAAACGAAACTTGGGGTCAGAGTTCGGCCTGCGTAGTCTCTCAGTAAGTACTAAGTACTAGTACTGTTTTACAATTGTTTTAGTATTCCTTTGAGCTGGCCTGCCCAGTACTGTTTAGAGTTGATTTAGCCAGTATTGGTTTAGTATTTGAACCGGTTCATCAGTCTTGGCAATGGCTTAGAGTTTAGTATTACTCGGCCGGGCCCAGGCATTTTTGGTTTCACTATATCATTTGCCTTAAACTGTTATTATTATTATTGTTATTACTATGCACATTTATTTTATTATTACAATTATTATTGCTATTATTATTATTATTATTATTATTATTATTATTATTATTATTATTATTATTATTATTATTTATTTATTTTTATCATTTTTATTATTAACTGCTTTGGGCTTTCCCTGTACCCCCCCCCCCGTGAACATTTGTTTGGGTGGCTGTTTTAGTGAAGCGTGTCAGAAAGAGTTTGGCTCTTTTAGGCCTCAGTTGGTTTTGATGAATCCGAATCGGCTTAGTATAGGTTCTGTATTACTTAGCATCGTTTTAATATCGATTAGTATTCGTTTAGCACTAGTTTAGTGTTGCCAGGGCTGGGATCATGTGTTTTCCACACCCCACGCGGGCAGCCATATTCTTTCGCACCGCACAGCAACTTGTCGTTTTCTTTTTCTTTTTCAAGGTGGGGAATAATTGTGGACAACTTTGTCGGATTGCCTCCCCTTTGCTCACTTCCTGAGTTGCTGGACTTTATACTTTTCCGGTTTGGGCCATTTTAGTGGGGCAAATAAATCGGAAGTGAGTTTGATGATTCGCTATTTGATCCTGTGGATGGACAAAATCCATTTCGCAGCACCTAAAAAACCCTGCATTTCTGAGTCCCCAACGTAAATGCCAACACGTGTCATGGTTTCAACCATGGTTTCGTTTCGTGGTGCGAACGGACGGATGTCGCAACCACGGCTGTGGCCTTGAACCGAATGGACTCGAAGGGTCCTCAAAACCGGTACTCGGGAAGCTGAAGGTCAGGGATAATGTTGACCCAGGTTTAATAAACCCGTCCCAATATTAGGGGGTGTTCCCTCCAACAGTGGTCCGAATCCCCACTAAAAGGGGACATCCCCCTATTGATCAACCAGGGTTTAATTTAGACGGGGTTAACATTAGTAACAATATTTTGGCTGTGGCTCAAACATGATACCCACAATCGCATGTAAGGTATTGGGAGCAAAAACTCAAAGCTGCGTAAAGCCCAGCTGGTTCATTGTGAGTCACACCCACATGGGTGCGGATATTTGCACCTTACTTCTTTGCATGGCTCTGGGTAGACCACTCTACCAGCATAGGTGTCCTGTTTGGTTGTTTTGGTAGAACAATAGATGTCGATTCCTGGTTTACCTGGTTTAATCATCTACCAGGGAAACCCATCTATTTCCCCTAACAGGACACCTATCTCAGTTGCCCAAAGCCGACCTTTTGACCTTTTGGTTTTCCCGTTTTTTTTTAAGGTGGAAGTGTTAAAAGGTTAACCTTTTATTTCCGGGTCCTTTGGGCAAGTGAGCTATGCGTAGACCATTCTACCAGGTTTTGACTTTGACTCACTGTGGCCCTGCGTGTTGGCCGCTCGATTGGATCAGGCTGGCGTTGGACTCACAGGCCCGGTCCGGTGGTTTCTTGGTTCGTCGGAAGTGGTCCGTTTAGCCTGTGTCGTTGGGTCTCACCCCTACTCCAACTACAAGTTGTTGTTTGGGTATATTTGGAAGATATGTGTTTCTTGTGCATGGCAAATGTATACTCCGTTTTTTTTGCCCGGGGTTGACATCGCATCCTGCAAAAAAAAAGCCGGGGTGTTTGGAGAAAACTCGGGTCCCAGGGCGCTTGCGATTGTCGTGGAACCTGAAGACTCTGGTTCGGATTCTCATTGAGGACGCCTTTTTTGGGTTCCTTCCATTTGGGCAAACAAAAAAGCACGCCAGGCGCCAATGATGGATGAAGCCCTAAAACAGGGGTTCCGAGTTATTTCCATCACCCCTTGGGCATGGGTGATGTGAGTTTCACTTGGTGTTGTGATGTTTACCAGGGAAGCATAGGAAGCCCTTCCACTTTCCGGGGCTCTGGAGCCGAACCCCCCACATAGATTGCTTTTGAAGAGAGACATGGGTTTGTCTCAAAGCAAAATCTCACTCCCTGAGTTCATGGACTTTATAGTAGTCGCTTTTTTGGGGAAGACAATTAAATAAATAATCAAAAGTTTGTGCTTTTGGCCGAAATGGGGAACCCCTCCAAGAGGTTTGGCTCTAACTTACCCCTGATTGTATTTGCCCGAGCTGACTTTGCAGAATTTCAAGACTTGACAGGCATGTTTGAATGTTGCCTTGTTGAGCTTGTTCCAGACTCGTTGGCTTGCCTGGCTCAAGTGTTTGTCAATAATTCTTTAGGGAGCCTTCCTGAAGCAGGTTTAAACCCTGTGCAGAACAGGACTCAACTAACCTCCTTGTCCTTCGAGCCCCTTGTGGACTTCTTTCCCTTAGCAAACGAACAACTCTTGCGGTCAGATCCGTCTGTCCTTCTGGCAAAGTTATGGGATCATTGTGCCGCATTGCTTTGAAGCCTGCATCGGCTTGGCATCCGAGCGAGAATCTATCTCCCAGCTTGGTCTCTCGAACGGCTTTGCAGTTCTGCGGTCCAGAATCTTTGGGGGCAAAAGACAAGAGTCCCTCCCCACTCAAATCGCCTTTTCTTTGGTTGCCAGAGTTCATGCGATCAAGATAGTTTGTTTGGTTCTGGATGCTCACGTCGCCCAACTGCTAAGTCCTGGCTCGCGATGTGGCCATGTTCCTATTTGGTACCTCCGAGCCAATCAAGACCCGGGTGGAAGCCTAGTAGGGGAGAGTCCAAGCATAGATGCGGCCCCGTCGATTATTTATATTGATTCGGGTAGACCCCATTAGTACAGGACTTTAAACCTTTAAGAACATTTGAGATGTAAACACAAAGCTTATGTTTGTTGTTGGCCAATCCACCCAGGAACTGGGAATGACAAGATCCCCCTACTCCAAATGCCCCGTTTTTTAAAGGGTGGGTTTGAACAAACATGTTTCCATGGCGCACCCCTCTTTTTTGTTGTTGTCATCATTGTACTCCAAATACCTGTGGACAACACAGACTCTTTTTGTTTTCAGCAGGGAAACGATTTATTCCACAAGGTGTCCAATCAAGGAATGGTTGTGGGTTATTCCCAAACTTGGCTTCTTTCCCTTCTGGCCAAGTGCGAGCAAGTTGGCCCCAAATGGGCATTGGCATCCGAGTCTGAAGTTGAGAAGCAACACCTTCCCCCTACTCCAAAAACCCATATGTTGAGAGTACGATGTCAACTCCTGACCAAACAACAGGTCGCCCATGAAGCAAATAATCCCCTCACGTGCATGATGTGATCAGGACATCGTGCTGCATCAAGGCGCGGTGTTAGGGAAAGGCCGGGGCGGCATGGGGGGTACGAAGAAGATTGTCTAAATTTAGCCATGGATATTGCCCAGGTATCCTCCAAACCTTTTTGGGTTTGTTGGGGTAGACTAAATAAGACATAACATATGGCCACGAATTTAAGTATAGCGTGCGCCCTGAGTTCCTGGACTTCAAACTTTTTGGCAAGACCAGTTGAGCGGTAATCAAAACGTTCTGACTTTTGGCCAGTCCGCTCAGGAAGTGAGGCTTTGTGGTTGAATCAACATTCCCACGGTGCAGGCCCCGATGAGTCACCGGATGCAAACTCGGCGAGCGATGGTTCCTCGCCTGGCTCCAATGACATGAACCATGGACAACGTGTCTTGCCTTGAAACAGGGGGAACCCAAACAAGTTGTGTGTTTTCCTGTTAGTTTCCCTTGAAACCAACCCAAGGGAACCCTCGAAAAGACACGCATCTCGGTATTGGGTGGAATATGTGCAGGTTGATTGGTATCGGGCAAGGGTGACTCCGTACGTATCGTTTTGGGTAGTCATATTGTGAGATTATATGATACAGTGGATGCACAAAATCCACTTTGCACCAGCTGGGACGAACAACACCTCTATGAATGCTGCCAACCAGTGCAGGATTTTGTCCATCCACAGTATCCTATGATATGTGTAGCCGTCCGAGTTTGTCGGAGCTGTTGGGAGGGGAGGGGAGCGGGGCGGCATGTCTATCCAGGAAGATACTACTACAATGACACCCGCCGGCTCCAGACCATCGAGCTCTCCCTACAGGCGAATGGGCAGCGTTCACGCGTGGAAGCGATCGTGGTGGGGGACATGTTCGAGCTTCTGGCAGGAGGGGGTTGTTTGAGGGTACCCCTTTTTAGGCTGGGTCTAAAGGGAAATCAAACAGGAAGACTGCGATTCTGTAGGCATATATGGTCAAGGGTTCCCGCCCCCCTCCCCCCCCATGGTTCCCCTGTTCCCAGTCCTCCTGCCCCCCCCTGTGGTGTGGTTGGGGTGTGGTTGATGGTTGATTTATGGTTGGTCTAAGACCACCCCTCTCCCACTGTGGTGGGGTTGTAGTGTTGGTTTAGGATTTGTGTTTTTTATCCTTGGAGCAGGGGTGGTTTGGGTTAGTTCCGGGGTGTTTAGTGTTGGTTTAAGATATGTGCTTAGGGGTTGGTTTAATCTAAGGTTGGGGTTGGTTTAGGGTGGATTAAGTTGGTTCAGGCTTGGTTTAGAGTGTGTTCAGAATGTGTCAAGTGTTGGTTCAAGATATGTGTTTCGAGCTAGTTTAGGGTTGGTTCAGGGTTGGGCGGAGGGCGTGCCGAGGTGCGGGTTCAGGGGGTGAAGGGGTCTGGGGACCGCAGCAGAAGGGCTTCTCCTGGGGGCGGCGTTCTTGGGGGGGGGGATACCATTTGGGGGGGGGAGTGGGACTGGGAACCCGGAGCCCGGGACCATATATCCGTATTTTGACTGTAGGTCAGGGTTGGAAGCAGATTTTGTCAGCAAGCAGACCCTGGCCGTCTTCAAAGGGAGACCAACAAGAGGTTGATTAAACAAATAGTGGTTTAAAAAGGGTGTGCAATGGGCTAGCTCAAACCAGATATACCTGTGCAAAAGTCACATGACGCGCAGTATGGAATCAAATCCAGGTCTGTTAATTGCATTGTCAAATTTGTTCACCGCAGTCGGATAAAGGCACCCTTTGAAGCTAGAACCTGCAAAGAGATGGGCAGACAGGTGATCACAGCTACCATCGATTAGATCACAATCTACAAGTAGCTTCACTCGGGTAGATCGAGCTAACCCATGAAGGTTGATGAATTGTAGTAACTTGTGCACATTGGTTTCCTAGTTTCACCGCGTGGTTTGTGGTCTAATGTTACTTGCGAAACACCTCGAAGGGTTGTGCAGGAGCCCGAAAGAGAAAAAAACAAAACGCCTCCATGAATCTGGGGAATTCTCGGGTGATGGGTACACACTTGCGAGTGTTGATGAAGGTTTGGTGGTCAAAGTTCTCTGCGAGGGAGATGAGACCATCTAAATGTCCCATGTCCTTCAGCTTATGTGCTTCTCCCTAGGCACGTCGTTGCAGGCAATCAGGGCAGAACTTAGATGCCAAACCTGTGTAACCAGGCGCCAGGGAGAAACCTGCAGGAAAAAGTACCTGGTTCTCTACTATGGTGGGCCTGGAATCATATGATGCTGCTTCAGAGAAAAGAGCAAGTGGGCCATGAAGTTTTTTTGGGGGCATGAAGGACCATGAAAGACTGATACTCCCTTTCTATGGTTCTAGATCAGAAGGGGATGGACGCACCTCCAAAGCAATTTTGATTTGAGGGTGGACCCATATTAGATGTGTACCAAGCTAGGTTGCGACATTCAGCAACACCCGTCGTGGCATCACTTCAGCCGATGAAATCCCCAACTTGACTCTATCTGGTTTTGTCTCTTTACCCTTCAACTTCTTGTGGCAAGAGGTATATTTTCTGGGCCTGCGGCCTCTAGCCGGCTACGCCTCTTTGAAGTTATACCATGTCATGTCATGTTTCTTGTATGAGAAACGTATCCTGTGCTATGATATGGCTGGTTAGGTTATGCCTGTTGCCCACCCCAACCCCAGATGATGCCGGGGATGCCAGCTTTCTGGGACCCAAACCAGAAGGCTCACATGGGGTCGCGCGCGCGCGCCAGAGGCCGCAGAAACAGCAGCCCAAAAAGAACAGCCCGCAAGCCAGCCCGGAAACGCAACAAAACACCGTAAATAGCAGCGTTTTGTGGCTGGGGTCGCGCGCGCGCGCCAAAAGGCCCGAAAACCAACGCGAAAAAAGCAAGGACCGCGCAGCACGCGAGCCAGCCACGGACAGAACAACAGCCCACCGCTCAGCACAGCAGTTTTTGACGGTATTTACAGCGTTTTGTTCAGCGAGGACCCAGCATCGCCGGCATGCCCGGCAGCGCTTGGCGCCAAAATGCGCGAAAATGAGCCTCGCTCATATCCCTCCGATACCTTCTAAAAAACAGTGCTTTTTGGGTTGAGAGGCTTTTTGGAAGGAAGCCGCTGAAGCATCGCCCAGGCCCAACCCCACACCCTGATGATGTCAGCCACATGGCCTAAACCCTGCATATACGCGATGTTTTGCGAGGGTTTCCCACAGGCAAGCAAAGCCGCAAGCCCGAGCTGGTGATGCAGAGGTGCCGGATTTAGGCAGCGCATCACGACCAAGTGGCGAGGGTCGGCGGCACCAGGGTGCACCCCCTATAGCTAAAGCTAGCAGGCTAATTGCCTAGCGGCGACATGCTTCCCTTAGGAGGCGTAGCCGGATTAACCAGGCTCCCGCCTGCTGCCGCCGACCCTCGGCGCATTAAGGGAAAAGTCATAAGGACCGGTCCTGAAACACGGGTGCCAGTCCGCAAACCCAGGGACCACTGATAAGATCCTCTAGGACCACAAACAAGGATTAACGGAAAAGTCAGAAAGATGGCAGCTATTCCGTTAATTACCGCTTGGGCCGGCTTGCGCCCAAGTGACTGCGAGTTGGCCCGGGAGCGGTCGCCTCTCCCGGGATCGTCCTGAAACTGGCCCACCCGAAACTGCCCCTGGGACAGTTGCCCTGGACAGGTCGCCGGCAGGGATTGGGACCCTGTCCGGGCTGGTCCCAGACTCTCTTGCAGAATGCCACAAGGATTAACGGAAAAGTCAGAAAGATGGCAGCTCGTCCGTCAATTTCCGCACGGCCGGTTTGCGCCCAAGTCACGTCGAGTTAGCCCGGGAGTGGTCCTAGAAACAAGGCCGTCGGTGCCCTCGACCGGTCGCAGGCAGGGACCGGACCAGTCCAAAAACAGCGACGTTGGAGGAAACAAGTGTCTGGAGCGGTTTGAGGTGGCACCAGGACTGGCAGAGTCCTGTTTGAGCCGACACAGCGGTCCTCAAAGCAGTCCTGGCCAGGACCGGTCCTGGGACCGGTCCCAGGGCTGGTCCCAGTCCGGGACCACTCCCAGGACCGGTTTTAGTTGACCACAAGTAAAGAACCACCAGTCCCAGGACCGGTCCCAGGCTGGTCCCAGGACTGGTCCCAGAGCACTTTTTGTGCTTTCGGGCGTGTCCCCAAGAATTCCAGTTGCATCCCACGCCGGTCCCCTCTCTCTGCAGGAGGCTGGGACGGGAGGCAGAGGGTCGGCGGATTTTCCCACTCAGCGAAAAGTCCCCCAGCGGCAAAATCTGAGAGGGGCGCCCTTTTTGTGTGTTTAAAGGAGAACACTTCACTGTTCTTGGATCACATTTTTCGTTTTTTGCTTTTTTTTGGGGGGGTTCTGTGCATTTTTACGAGGCTGCAAAAAACAGTCCGTTTTTTGCAAGGCCGTGCCAAGAGTTGTAAAGGAAAGAAACTCCTCGGCCGCCAGGAGGACTGGGATTTTCCAGTGGGCACTCGCCGCTTGGTCTTAAAAAAGCAGTGAGCCATCTAAACCCGGCCAAAGACCCTTTTTGTTGATGGTATGTTTGAAGCACCAAGGGTTTTTCCATGGTAAATATCTCCTTTTTTGTAGTGAGGGTTGAGTAGGGGGCAGTACTTTTGTGCTGGTTGAGTTGGCAAGCTTTGAGTTTTTAGTTGGCGGGTAGTTTCTTCATCATTTTGGTCAAGGCCAGAAAAGTTCATTTTTTTCCAGGCCAGCCAACTACTCTGGTCAGAGTAAGGGATAGCCCCGACATCCGGCCGTTTCATTCTTTTAGGCGGTCTAGCCCAATTTAAAATAATTACCAGGCTTGGATGACTCATTAAAGTGACCTCCCAAGGACCAGAGGTGTCCTTGGTGAGTCATGGAAATCGATGGGTTCCACTGGTTTAGATGGGTTCCATTCCACGTACCAGGGCCCTCCGCGTCGAGTTTTTACGCTCAGGTTTTTCACCGGCTTAGTTCAACAGGGGAGCTCAAGGGCTGGGTGTGGTTTGGTCTTGTTTTTGTGGGTGTCCCTGATAAAAGCTGCCATGTCATGTCTTGAAACTTGTGGTTTGGATAGGTTGGCTATCCAATCAGCAGGTTTCGAACAAGACATACTCAGCTTGGCTCCCTTCTACACCCAACACTCACTGTTTCATACTTTTTCAGGGTATGGTATGATGCCAACCCCCGACCCATGGACAACCAGGTTGTTCAAAAGTATTTGTTTGTCAAAACGTATTTGAGTGTGTCTGACGATAGGGGATCCCAAAAATGACTGGTTGTCCTTCAGCTTTCAGCTTTCACTCAAAACCACCCCACAAAGTTAAAACCCAGATCAATAAATCCTGGTTGCTTAATATGTGGGGGGTCCGCTTTAAGGGCAATCCGGATCACTTTTGTGGGGTGACACACACACACACCAACAAAAAAGACAAGTTGTAGTTTTTTGTGTGGGTACCCACAAGCTGGGGCCTCCTCCAAACCGATACATTATTATTTAAAGCAGACTGAGTATACAGAATCACACATTACCCCCCTGTCCACTATCATGGAACCCACCAAAAGGTCCATTTTGACGCAACAACGGTCTGCCGACCCCTCGGGTTCCATGTTTTACAGCAGGATCTCAGAATTTGAGGTTTTTCCCGGGGTAGACTTAGGATACATGTTTTTTTTGCATTTTACCAAGTGCCTCAAAGTGAGGCAAACAATAAACAAATATACACATTCTATAACTGGGCCTAACCTCGAATCATGTTTCAGTACACTGGAAGCCCAAGTGAGCCACAATCAAACCCGGGTAGATGAAGGTTAGCAAGGGGAAGTCCCAGCCAGAAATAGATGCGGCCGCCTTCTTAATTCTTTACATGGTTCTGGGTAGGCCATTTTAATACCGGGTTTTGATTGTGACTCAAGTTGGGAAGTTGAGGCCAACTCGCGCTCCAAGGCCTGCAATTCCAATCCTTCTTGGACGACCAGGCCTTTGGCAGCGGCGCCGCTGCCGCGGCCGCTCGCTGGTGGTTTCCTTTCGGGTTCCACATATATATATATATATATATATATATGGAGATATGTAAAATATGAGAAAAAAAACAAAACAACGCAGAGGATACCACAAGCAGTTTCACTTCGAACGTGCGCCTCTTTGGGGGACTTCCAGTTGCTTGATATTGTGTGATTCGTTCCCTATTTTGGGAAACACGTTTTTGGAGTTGGGGGTAGTCTATGGTTCATGTTGGAGGGGCGTTCAGGGATGAGCTAACAAATATCAGTAATTTGTTGGAGCGACATGAAGCTCAGATCTTAGCCGTTCCCAGAGCTGGAGTCCCCTCCAAGTTTTGGATGTTGTACTTTAGGGTAGGCGAAGCTCGGCCCCAAGTCGCTGGTTTGGATTTGAAGCCGTGGTGCTTGAGTCAGTGAATGCCGGAAACCAATTTGATTACCTAGCCGGGCACCAAAGAAACCCTGGGAAGCTGGTAAACATGTTCACCCGCTGGATTTTCATGACATAGCCCAAACAAAGAGGGCGCCTCTTGAGTAGGGGGTGACATGTTTCAGTGACTTGGGCCTTCGGTTGGGTTTGAGTCTAGGGCATTTTCGTGGTGGGTTTGGAGTTGTGGAGGCTTATATACCACCAATAGAAACTTGCAAATCGTTATATACACCTTAGACAAGTGATGCGTACATAACCTCCACGTCTCCAAAATCCAAACCTGAACAGAATCTTGATTCAGGTTGCCGTTTTCTGTTTCCTTTCTCCCAGGGATGGGAACCCCACTTTGTTCTCGCAGAACAGGACAATTATTCCCCGCCCTTGGAGGTTTGGAGTTGCAGTTCTTAGAGGGATCTGTGACAGTTGTTTTTTGTTCTCTGAGGGTTGTTCTTTTTTTTCTCCCCAAGGGGTCAAGTTGAAGTTTGCTCAAGCGGTGACCAAGTTTCTTGTACAGAAAAGAGGTCGCGTCATGGGCGCACAGCAACCACTTGCGCTGTCGTCGCTGCGTTGCATGTCACAATGCCCGCAGGATGTGCAGAAATGGTTCAGCATCGACTGGACAATGGGATTGTTTTGCAGCATGGGAGTAAGGGATCCTTTCTGGGACAGAGTCTTCTCTTCAGGGTATCCTTTGCGGGGTTTTCGGTTTTCCAGCGAAGCCACGGGGAACCTTGTGGGGCCGTTGTGAGGCCGTTGGGAGGTTCACCTACGAGGCAAGCCAAAAAAACAAACCACTCCAAACAACAACATATTGCTCTTGATCCCGTAAAATCATGGCCTGGGGATCAGTTGGTAGTGACGATCCTGAACGGCCAACAATGAACCCAACCCTTGTAGTGGTGGCTTTCTGAATCCCAGGGTGGAGGGAAGCTCACAATTTGCCTTAGGTTTTCGACATTTGGACCGGCCAGTCAACGAGTTTCCTCCCCTGACTAAAGCAGGTGCGCATAGCCACGAGAAACCAGATGCTTGCGGACATGGCCAACTAAAAATGGCGGAGTAGGGGGGGTGCTTACAGGTTGGAATCTGTGCCAACAATGGAAGTGGACAGTTTTCCGGAGTGAACAGTTTTCTAGGACGATGCAAGTCTTCCAGTTTTCTGTGCTGCAACTAGGTGCGTTTTCGCGCCCAGTTGCCATGGATATCACAAAAATAGTGCTGCAGGAGTTGGCAGGGACATGCCACCATTTGTGTGGCAGGGACACCTGAATCAGTTGATGGTGTTTCGGCATATTGGTGGAAGGGAAGCTTGCAAGAACAGATGTTCAAGCACCTTTCTGGGACAACCTGAATAGTGTGGATAGACGAAATCCTGCACCAACTTAAGAAAACCTGGAATGATGCTCAATGATTCCCCTGTAAATACCAACAATATGGTTTCCCAGGGTTTCAACATGGTGCGAACACATGTCGTCGATCCATCACTTTGGAAGGATGTTGAAGTTTCAATCGAATAGTTTGCCCTGACCCCTAGAATGAATTGTCCAAGGTGTGTGTTTTGTTTTTCGTCGTGGCCCCGAAAGGTTGGCCTTCTATTTCCTTTGGGCAAGAGAGAATGAGTTTGGTGGCTTGGCCCATAGACAAATCTGCTTCCCAGGTGGGGATTTCGGTGCTGGCGGGCTACAAATATAGCTCTGTCCAGATCGAAATGCCGGATGTCTACGAGTTCAGCATCGACCACGCGGCGCCCGCCAAAAAAAAAGCCGAGATCGGGTCACACTCATGGGAAAAAGTTTGGCGTGTTTGTGGATCCCAGCTTCGGATCAATCCGAATGACCCTCAGACAATCCCGGTACTGTGGACAGAAGCCACCACTTTGAAACCACGGGAAACCACCGTTGGTAGCTACAGGGGACTCGGCATTCCAGGCTTTCTTAGGTGGTGCAGGATTTCGTCCATCCGCAGTAGGGCTTTTGACTGAAGGGGGATCCCCCCTCACTAGTTCCGTCCTCCGGATCAATCCGAAGTGAAAGTTAAGCCTAGGACATGTCATCAGGCCGGGGTCCATGAGGGGGTGTAGCTTGTTTGTTGCAGGTAGCCTTTTCAGCTTGGTTTAACAGGAAACCAACGGGAAACCGCAAAAAATTGGGGGGATCTCCCTATTTTGAAGCATTCCCATTCAAAATCCGAGACACACCATATGAGGCATCTGCAATTTGTACCAATGATTCCAATACTTCAGATACATCAAGGAACCCACCAAAATGAGCGGTCGCCCTTGAACCCACCAAAATGAGTGGTCGCCCTTATTTTCCTTGTTTCCTTTAAAACAGCCAAACAAGTTCCCTCAAACAAGTAGAACCGCACAGAAGGCAAGCCATGCGCGCGGGCTGGGCGGTTTGGGATTCAGTTGAACCCAATGCTCTTTGGGGTAATTACACAATACGCACCCAGCTCCAAGCCGAGAAACCATCCTCAGGAAACTCCAGGAAGTTCGGCAAGTACCCACTTTCCAGGAGGGGTGTGGGCGATTTCTTCCTGGAGAATTGCCTGGCTGGATGTTTCATTGATCCAGTCTAATTCAATCCGTGGCCCAGTGTAATGCCCCCCGTTTTGCCAGCCACGGCCCAACGGAAAACACTCAGTTGGCATTTTGAAAGACGGGTTTCCAGCGTATTTTTATACCGATCCCTTTTTTAGTACGTAGGTGGCTTTGTAGTAGGTTTATTTTTGTTGCCGCAGGCTTTGACCTTAGAGAGGGTCGCGTTTGTTTTTTTGTTTTTTTTGTGCGATGTCTATTCCCCCGCCACGCGCGCGCTTGCATACTTTCTCGCGTGCTTTGATTCTTGCCTCATCTATTCTCGGCGCAAAACAATTCTTCGATCAGGGTCCGTGACACGGAAGCTCAACTTCATTGTCTGTTCATTTGCATACGGAAAGGGGTGCCGGCAAAAGATCTACACGGATTGATCATGAATGGCAAACAGAGATTCCATTTACCAGCATAGCAACCAACCTCCAAAGGGAATATGTTTGTCCACTAGTAGTGGTGGAGATCCACTGGGTGGGAGTTGCAGAGGGTGACTTGTTTTAGTTGGAGTGACAGCTGTTCAACAGAAACAACGTTAGCACTAAGTTAGCACCCTTTCTTGAGCAATGGCTTGTTGGACGTGCTTTGTATTGAACAGCTGCCTCAAATGAACGCCTCTTTTTCTTAGAGTTGATTCCCCATTCTGGTCATCTATCGCAAACTAAGCAGCTAACTAAGTGGCTAGACAGCTGACTAGCTAGTCAACTAACTACAATCACTATAGATTAGCTGATCGCAATGGCTCGAGCACGGACCAACTAGTTGAGAAGGACAGTGTCCTATGTGTGTTGGAACCCCTTTAAGGGGAAGCCATCAGAAAGACCAAACCAACGCCACATCAAGGCCATATCAAAATGGGGATGTCGTAGAATAAAGGGCCTTTTAAAATGTTGGTGTCCTTTTGTGTTCCCCTCAAAGCCCATCAAAAGGGAAAAAAAAGAGACACGTCGAGTCTGAGTGCCGGCAGGATCCTGTTTTTGTGGTAAAGGAGCAAGTTCCATTCGGGTCCCACATTTTACGACAAGCCCAAAGGAAGCGCTACCGAAATCTCAGGAGGCGGTGGTGAAGTTGGTCTACTCCGACGCCACGCGGGGCTCCTGCGAGCGCTCGGACTACAACGTTCCCATGGCGCTCACGCAGAACAGCGCCTCGGAGTGGTCAAGGCCTAGTCGGTCCGGTCCCCATGGGTATCACGGGGAGAAAGATCCACGGGAAATCCGCACGAGGAAAAAGTTTGACTGAAAACTCCAGGGGTGTTGTTTTTGGCAATGCCTATATTAAATGTTTATGGCAAAGCAGAACCAACTATCAACTGGTCGTCTCCAAGTGGGATCTGGAATGCCAATGGGTGGCCACCGGGTTGAAGCCCAGTGATTCCATTCTCTCTGGTGTAGGTAAACACCAGAAGCGTTTGTTTTTGTTTCCGGGTATGGAGGGGCTGTTGAATCCATTTAGCGGACCTTTCTGCCGGTTTCCTTTTCAAGTGATTCGGTCGGTGAGTGCGGGCTTACCAATCCTTGGGTCAACGTTTGATAACGTCGACATGTTTGTCCACTAAAACAAACTGCAAAAATCCGTTCATCCGGGGCACCCAGCGCGCTTGAAGCTGCCCTCGCCGCTGTCATGGGGGTGGCTCCAAGATGGGTGGTAGTTCAGTTTTCCAAGCGCCTAGAAGGGGTGGCTCTTTTGCTTGTCCCCTTTGCTCGGTTGCTCGGTCCACTTGGGAAGTAGATGATAACGGGGTTAGCTGGGGCGTGTTCGTTTATGGCTAGAATTTGTGACCTAACCTATGGAGGCTGGGTAACTTGGCAAGTGGATCACAGGCAAGCCGCTCTAGGCGACCTCACATTTCCCCTTTACCCTTTTGAAGGGTTGTTTCCTTTGATGCCCACCATAGTGGCAAGTGGAACCATTTGCTGTCTGCAAGTGAACAATTTTCCTTGGGTGCTTCAAATATGACCTAGGCCAATATAGAGTTGTTCCTTGGTGGGCGTATTTTTTCCCCCCGTGTTTCCGGGCAAGATAAGGCACCCTTTGCGGAGTAGCTCACGTGGCCGTTTTTGGGGGACCGTGGTTGTCCTTCTAGTGTCGCTTTAAACCACAAAAGGAAGATTAAAACAGGCTGCAGGGAAACCTCAAGTAGCCCTGCGTTGGCGGTTTGCTGTTTTTTGAAGCCCTGGTTCTTGTGGAGGGTAAGTGACAGCCACCCCGAGCACACCTCCAAGCGCCAATCAACGGGAAGCTGAATGCATTAGATTCGGGACATCTAAAGGACATCTAGAGCAAAAGGGGAAGCTCTTGCCAGTACCCTGTACCCACAATAGAAAAGAGCACTGCAAATGAACCACCCTTGGAGAGTGCTGGTACAGTTGTGTCCTTCACTCTTCCTTTTTTGGGGGCTGCAGGTTTGTGGGTTGAGGGGTACGTATCAGGGGCCAAACAGTTTTTGTGGATGTAAAAATGAGGGACCCTGCATTCATGGTCCCTTCAAGCATCACGGTGCAAGTGAGCCCCCTTGGACTTATCCTGTGAGTTATGGAGTTCCTTAGGGGGGGTGGTCCAAGGTGGGGGGAATCCCTAAGGCTCCCTAGGCCTATGGAAGCTGGCTCTCAACTACCCACCGGAACGTGCGCACCCCCTGGATGGGATCCCACATTAAATGAGGATAACGTCGCAGTCGAATGTTGACCCCTGATGCACAATCTATGTGCGGTGTTCCTTGGTTTTCCTTAAACCCCGCACCTTGCATGATGCACCGCACAAGATTCCCTACATGCACCCGTCCTTAGCCGGAGGTCCCTACATTTGCTACTTGTTGTTGGTTTTGAGTTTAGGGAAGCCACGCAAAAGGTCGTGGTGTCCCTTTGGTTTCCCTTGGTAACATGCCCAAAACCCTCAAATACCACCATTGAAACAATGGTTTGGGTAATGTAAACACCAGTATTTGCTGAGTAACGTATCATCTAAATCGGGTCCCAGCCATTCTCATGGGAATCCCTACCCTAAAAATGCACCAACAGCACCAAAAGTGGATGACCATTGGCAAAAAACAACTCGGCAGTCTTGTGTTCGCTGTCCCGGGTGTCCCTGCTCGAAATCTAAAGAGGATCTGTCACTGCTCGAATGATTATCTCACTCTGTGAGTTCCTGGGCTTCAATGGTGCTTTGATTTGCGGAAGACCCTTCCATTCCAGGAAGTGAGTAGTTGATTTTAAAGGGGGGCTGCCCCTCCAAAAAACAGCTGAAACAAATATTTGCGCTCACTGGGGGTTGAACCCTGGACCCTTGAGAAAAATGACACCTATACCCAGACCCCCAGTTGCGCCCTTGTTTCCTTCTGGAAGGGTCTTCCCTTTGAGATCGAGCCAATTTTTTCCAGACAACTAGGGGCCTGAACCCTCAAAATTCCCTTAAAAATTGGTTTGACCCTCAAAATTATGGGCTGATATCCAATTTTTATGGGTAGTTTGAGGGTCCAGGGGGACGGTTTCGGGAGCTACGCTTTCCCATAAAAGATGCGCTTTGCTCACGCGTCGAATCGACCCGGAAGGTTCCACGGGCTCCAGCTTGGGACCATCACCCTTGGCGTCGGGGGCTGTTCTGAGGACCCCCCAGGGAGGGACCAATGCAGCTCGGCAGGCATAGGAATGAGTCCAACCGGGTTCTTCATGCATGTTTGTGCAACCCCCTCAAAAAAAACAGGTTTTCCTCTTGGTTTCCCCCTTTAGAGCCACCAAGCACCCCCAGGAAAATACCGAGATAGACCCCTATGTGAAGCTGGAATTCCCAACACGCGATAACCTGGATAGTACCATTTTGATAACCATATTTTGTATGTTCTTCATTCATGTGAAAAATGGTGACAACCTACAGGACCATAGGTGGCCTTAGGCCAGTTTTGGTGCAAAGACATTTAGTGCCATCGATTTGTTCGAAGGGACCCTGGCCCTGGGCTTTCACTTCCATTTACAGGGAAACGTAGATGATGACAATCCTTGGATACACAACAACGGTGGATATATTCACCTCTATTGCTTTTGGATTGAAACCCAGGGCCGGTTTGCAACACGACCTGTTTGACGGTTCTTCTGCGTGAGGCTCTAGAATGACTTCCTGGGTTCGTTTAAGTGGGTCTTGGACGCTTTGTTTCTCTCACTGCTATTGGGTTGGATCTTTAGACTTTAACTTTTTGCGAAATAAAAGTTGTGATGGTGTTTTCCCCTAAACCCAGAAGAAGTTAAACTTTTTGCTGAGGGATCAGCAGCAACCAAGTTTCCAAGCATCAGAAAGCACCCTCCGTTGGAGAGGAAGTTAGGGATGTCCATTGGAAGTTTTTGGACCTCAAACATGGCCATGTTTGGAGGTAAGATTCTTTGTGAGTTTCTAACAAGACTTCCACCCCGAAACTGACCCCCAGAGGTTGATGCGATTTGCAGCCGCTAGCCACTAAGAGGTTTGTATATACTTTGTTTTCCCCTAGGGTCGGTGGTTTGGTGGCAGTCATCTTTCTTTCATTCCTCTCCGCGTCCCAAAACAGAACCAATCAAGGAAACAAACAGACCAATACTGTTTCATATATGGGTGTCTCGCTTAGAATTGGTACCTTTTGTTGTGCTTTGAAAGGGGAACCAAAAGGCCACCCACCATTTGGTTTGTTTCATTCTGTTTTTGTTGGAGACGGGGTGTCCTCTAAAAAAAACACCCATCATATATATATATGTATATATGTATACAGATATGTACGTAGCAATCGGTGCATGAGCTGGTTCGCCATTGTCTACTTGCCCTTTGTGCTATGCGTGGTTTGAATTGGTGGTTTGAAGATGTGGAGGTTGGGTGGTTTCCTCAACAAGAAACGGGGGTTTCAGTCCCGAACCGCCCATTCAAACCACCAAAAGAGGGCTCCCTGATTGAATGAGCCAATTGAACAGCATGTGTAGCAGTGACATGTGACATGACGGGCAGCTGACTCCATTTAAGCCCCTCCCACCACACCCACCGCTGCGCAGGAGCGCATGCTCCCATCCAACCATGCCCGTTGTCCCTGTTGCGGCCATTGCGCTGGCGATTCGAATGCCTTTCCACCACCCACACTATCCCCAAGATTATCGGGGGGGATGCCGGTGGTGGTGCTTTTGATTTCTTTTTGCCTCGAGCTTATAACCTGTACGGAACACAATACGGTAATTATGCATCAACACGAGGGACCCCATCCAACTAGACTAGTGTCCGTTTGGTCTCTAATTTATTACATAGTTACCCGTAAAGCGGTTACTCTTTGTTGCCATGCCTCTTTGAAGGACACCTGAACACCCCAACTGCTTTTGGACCCTCAAGGAACCCTGGAGGTATATATAAATGTAGGTTCTTTCTTCCCCTTCAGGAACCTAAGGGAGGTGTTTATCCCCGCCCAGGAATCCTCAAGACCCCCCCCCACCCAGTACCCTCTAGCCACCTAAGCCGTGATTTGGGGCAGGGGGGTTGAAGCCCTTGTGGGAATCTCCCGTTTTTTCTCGCCAATCCACACCACCAGTGGGTCACAAATGCCCCAATCACCTCAAAACCCTTTGTAAACTGGCTTTGCCATTTAAACCCACACCTTTGGATGATCGACCTTTCCTCAGGGACTTGCTCTTCAACACGCATTGAGAGTGCGATTCGGGGGCTTATTTACCGCAACATCCCCACCCCCTTAAAAAAGGGATTGGGGCAGAGGGGATTTCGATGCTGAAATTCCATTTGTGGCAACACATTTTCCCTATAGCGAACTAGATACATGGAATTTGGGTCCTGGACCCTAAATCCACCCCCTTCCTTTCCCATTTTCAGCGACAAACAACTCCAGGCTCACAAGTATCCTTTTTGGGTTATTTTTGTCAGACATGGAAAGGGTTCCACTGGTTTAGATGGGTGCTACAAACATAAACCATTTTATCGTGGTCAAAGGTCTATTCTATCCAAACGGTCACCTATCCCCTTCCCAGCCTTTTTGAAAGCGAAACGGGTGTTGTTTCTTAGGATTGGGACCGCCCCTCTCCCAAAATGGCTTCGGTTTTCCTGGCTTCCCTTTCAAGCCAACCAACAAAACGGGGGGTTCCAACCCAACAGAAGGCACACCCATTTGGGTGTCCTTTTTTTGGAGTTGGTCCCCTTTTGCTTTGGCTTAATTAAATGGACAATTAAAAAAGGAAAACCCTTCAGCCTTCTGCAAAACCTCAGCATTTTGGAGGGCTCTAATGATACAAAGGCCCACCCGTTCAGATGCCCATGTCCATTGGGTTTCCCGGTAAAAGGAGAGCCGCAGCCAGTTTTTTGGTTAAGGTACCACCCCCACGCCAAAAGCCAAAAGCCAAAAGCCAAAAGCCAAAAGCCAAAAGCCAAAAGCCAAAAGCCAAAAGCCAAAAGCCAAAAGCCAAAAGCCAAAAGCCAAAAGCCAAAAGCCAAAAGCCAAAAGCCAAAAGCCAACCCCTCCCAACCACCCTACCACCCAAAGGACAACCCTACCCCCACACGCCCATTTCCATTGATGGGTTTCCCTGTAAAAGGACCTCCGCAGACTTTTTTTTGTGTTGGTACCGCCAACCCTACCCCCAACCCCTCCCAAACGCCAAAACATGGTTGTTGTTGGGAAACCTTCTACATGTTTGCTTCTTGTGGCTTAGTGGTTGAAATCCAACCACTTAACTGCTAAAATTTATTATTGTTGCTCCCCAAACCCAACGTCAAATCCAACCACTTAGCTGCCAAAACTCTTTTTTTTTTGCTCCCCAAACCCAGCGTCAACACGTCAAATCCAACCAAAAGCCGCAGGTGCTGTACCGCCTGGTGGAGTTTCCTCACCTCACCTTCATGAAGGGCGGCACCTTCCGGCTGTGCTACTCCCCGGACGGCACCTTCTTCGGCGACGAGCCGCTTGGCCCACGGAGTTTGACCGGGGGACCGAAGGCTCCGAAGACAACCGGAGGCAACCCAGCGGCGGAAAAGGGGAAAAACAAGCGAAAGCAGCTCCAACAAATACTGGCAAAAGAGGGAACAAACACCGAATAAATTGAATCCATAAAAAAGAGAACAAACACCGAAAACAAACAGCGAACAAACACCGAAAAAGAGAAGCTCCAAATAAAACATCGAATCCATTGTCCTTGGGAAGGGGATTCCAAAGTTTGGATTCCAAAGGCCCATTTTAGCAGGCGCTTCTAATATCTGGCTGAATTGGCCTTGTACTTTAGCCAGGCAACAGCTTAAAATGCTTCTCAGATGTTTTGCACAGACCCAATTCGGTCAACCGCAGGTCGAATCAACAAGCGCAATCCGCGTGGCAGGCGTGGGACTGCACCCGTTTGATACTAGAAGGCTTCCCGGCGTCCGCGGACCTACAATAGGTCTCACCGTGTAGGACTTTAGGGGGAACCGTGTTGTCGTTTGGAACTTCACGCACAACTTTTGTATGGCCAGCGAAGAAAAGGCAACCAGGTTGGCAGAACTAAGAGCTGAGTTGTAGGTACTGCTCACTTGACAAAGTGATTCAGGGGATCCCCCTGAAAATACCCAGCTGGGGTGGGATTTGCCGAGAAAAGCACCACCGAAGCACCGTGGGAGGATAATTTTGCCTGGAATGATACAGAGGACCAATAATGAAAGCCTTCCGGAAGATGGCTATGAATGTTTGCAGGGAACTACCTCGCAAGTGGTTGGTGAACATGAATCTTCATCTGAATGATGTCCACCAAAGGGCCCTATCAAGTTCACACCAACAAGTGTATCAACAATATGCAAGTTAGGTTACCCTTGTCTTGGTGGTTTCAAAGGGAAACGAAAAGGAAAACCACCATCTTTGTTAGTCCCCGAGAAAAACATATATAGAGTACGCCCCTCCCTCCAGTGCTCCCATTTCTCAGAGCATGTCTCCCAGCACCCACAAGCTGGAAACGGCAGCCAGCTGTTGACGCAACCATTTGGTCACGCCCCCTAGTTTGTATCTTAGCACTTGTTGGTAAATTTCAACTTTGCATTGCGGGATTTGTTCATTATGGATGAAGGCACAAATGCTTCAAACTGCTTCTCAGCGGCTAATACAAGTCCGATTGAACATAATGTCGACCCCGAATGAACCCTTCAGTTGTTTAGGCTGTTTCGCCACGTAAAGGATCCTTTCTCAAATGTGACACGCCCTTTTGATCAACCAAAGGGTTATTCATCCTGGTTTCCATTAGACGTGTCTTGAGGATATTCGCCTGCAAGATTCCATCAGTGGCAGTGGCAGATCTCCGAACATAGTGTGGAGTATCCCAATTGCCTCCGGTTTCCTTTAAGGGCGGTTGCTTTCAAATCAATTGGGCTCTTGGGCTAACGTCCCTCAGAAATTTTCTTCCTGGATACAGGCTTGGGCAGATGCCAGACTCAATTTACCTTTTGTCGTTTGTGCGTTTGGGAACAAGCGGTCTTTCGTTAGGATCAGTCTGGTCAATATTGTCAGCTTGGAGCATGGAAGATGAAACATGGTTCAGCCTATTGAAAGTTTGGGAGAACATGGAGGGCCCGTCCAATTGTCCCAGTCCTCTTGGGAAACAAGTGATTTTGTCTGGCGTTGTATGGCCATGAATCTTGTTCCCTTCCGAATGCAAAAGGCATCGGAGATGTTGGATTCTTCCTACTCAATCCGCTGAAGTGGTAAAGGTTGTTTAGCGCTGGCGCCAGTCGACACTGGAAGCGGAGTGGAATTCCCGTTGACCTATTGAACGTGCACCTATTTAAGCATGTCGGGTGTTGATTCGTGGGCGCCGTACATGATGGCCTGAAAGGGTTCGCCATTGAGAAAGCATACCCAAAACAACTAAGAACATGAGGTGGAAGCAAAACAGCCCATTCTACCGGAAGTTGGTTAAGCTTGCACAACGACAGTGACAACTTAACCACGAAGGGGATAAATGTGAGGATCATCTTAATTAAACGGTCTCAGTGTGTCGTCCGTGAAAGTGAGGTGGAAGAACAACAGGAAGTTCTGCTGGAAAGGCCCTAACCCCGCCCCAACAAATACCCAAGAAAAGGGCTTCCTGTTTCTACCACTCGGAAAATGAGGCGCAAGAACAGCATTACTTTTTGTTGGGGGTTTAAAAACCACTGGTGGTCTTACTGGTCCTTCGTTTGTTTTCCCTTAAAAACCGCAAAAGAAAAAAACACAAAAAACGGGTGTCCGCAAAAACAAAACAAAAGCGAGCCGGTCTGTTGTTGTTCCCTTTTAACACCACCAACAAATCCGCATTGGTTCCCCACGAAAAAAGAAAAAAACACCGCAAGCAAAAAAAGGCAACAAATCAAAGCACGACGCGCGGGGAGTTTTGAACCCCCCCCCCAAAAAAAAAGAAGAAGAAGAAGAAGAAGCAACAACAGCAACAAAAAGGCGCGGCGCGCGGGGAGCTTTGTGAGGTGGAAGAACAACATCGTGCCGGTGGAAATCACCGTGCTGGGCGTCGCCTCCGACTGCTTGTCGGACGGCTGCCTGGCCAACGAGCGCTGGGACTGCTACTTCTCCTACGCGGGCCCGGGCCCCGGAGATCCAGGGATTGAAACGCAGGGTTCCAGAAGGAATCCGAAAAAGGAAGGCAGAAGATGAAAGTGGAAGGTGTGTGATTGGCTTTTCTGGAAGACTCTCACTTCTGGAGTTCTGTTTCGGACTTTGAGCACTTCTCGGGTTTGGAGATTTTGGGTGGCAAACAAGCAGTTTGGACTGTGTTTCTGGCAAGCCTGTTCGAGGTTGGGTTCAATCATCACCTTTTTGGCCCATAGTTGAGTTTCCCTTGGCAGGAGCGATGTTCTTTGTGTTGGAAGTCTGCGGAACCTTGTATTGTCCGGGCCAAGAACCAACTTGTCTTCGAGCCAGTGTTAGGCATGTTGGGCCTTGGAAACACCAACTAGAGGGAAGTCCATTTGCCTACAATAGTAGTGGCCAAGGGAGCCGTTGTTTCAATGGTGGTTATATGAACCCAACCATTGTTTCACAGATGGGTATGGGTCAACATTAAACCACTATGGGGATGCCAGGTTCCATTTGGCGTATTTACGCATTTTTTTACAAACACACCCTGGTGGTTTCCGGTAAATGGTTGTGAAGTATGAACCCAACCTTTTTTCCAGTGGTGGTTATATGGCTGTGGGTCAAAACCAATGGTACCATTTTGGGGTAGTTGCACCACCCATTTTAGTCCATTTTAGTTGGCATTGGGATGTTCACTGGGGGAACGGGCTTTTGACCCATGGCCGTATCCTACACCACTGTGAAACCATGGGAAACCATGTTGTGTTGGTGTTTACAGGGGAATCATCGTTCCAGGGTTTCTTAGATGGTGCGAAATGGATTTCGTCCATCCACAGTATGGATATGGGTCAAAATCTCTACCCGCCAGAGGACCGCAGGTAGTCCCATGTTCTATGTACGGGGGCAACTCATTCTGGGTGCCTATGTTTGACCCATGGCCATATGACCCCAAGCCTTGCCACTGGGTTTCAACGCGCGTGGGATCGAGGCGAGGACGTGGCCAGCTGCCGCATCGACTTCCGGCTCTATGGGGGCGGCCGCGAGGGCTGGACGGTGCAGCTGGCCGGCGTGAGCCGCGTCTCCTGGTCTGAGGCGGGTTCCGAGGGGAAAAATCGAAAAATCCGAAGCCAACTTGGGGGAAACCAGGTGGCTCGGTAGGGCCCTTTTTAACCCCTCTACTAGGGGAAATCCAACTGGGGGGAAATGAGGTCCCCCAGCTAGGTGCCCTCTTTAGCCCCTTTTTTGGTTGGGAGGGAAACCCCTACCAAAATAGGCTACAGAAAAAGTTGGTACCCTTATTGTATCCTCTCCACTGGAGGACCTAGGAAAGGAACGAGGCACTTCACTTGCCGCGGAAATATGCAATCACGTTGTCTTTTGAGCAGAATATGATAGCAGACAGCCATGTTTATTGGTTGTTTTCTGTTGTTTTTTGTCCAAGTAGACACCCAAATGGGGAAGGTGTCTTGGTTATGATCTTCTTGCTGGTCAACAGCCTCCGGCCGTTTCCCCCATCCATATGCTCTCGACCCGTTTAGATGCAGTTGTTTAAGCAAGGCTTAGGCTTAGGGGGTCATCCCTCCCCAGACAGGCCATATGTACAAGCGCCTCCAGCTTAAACGACCACGGACGGGTTGAAACGCCCTCGACCCGTTTCACCATTGCGGACACAAGGGCCCAGGAGGTCCTGCGCGCCAATTCCTCCCCAAAGACAGGCTTGCTGGGGGCCGACAAGTGCAACTGTTTTTTGAGGTCCAAACCCTGCCAACGATCCGAACCCCTTCAACGCGCAGGCTTGGTTCTTGTTGACTGCTCAACAGGCAGAGCACAGGCTTTCGCCCTTCGGTTGTGATTTTGTTTCGAGGCCCGGATTAAACAGGCCTTACCTCTGGAGACCTTTAAAGGGTACCCAGTAATTACTAAGTGTCCCATTTAGTTTGGAAGATATGTTGGATATAACTTGTCGTTTCCATGGCCCATGACAAATACGTTTTGGTCAGCCGCTCTTCTAAGGGTATATTTGGAAGAAAACGTGCGTTTGATGCGTATCTGTGAGTATACGTATTGTGTTTAGTCAGGGGTTGCGAATCATACCCTAAACAAAAGGGCATTTAGGGTCTCAGCAGAGTCTCCCGAACCCTCGCTTAGTCGTCACTGGAGATCAATTTGAGCCTTCCGTCCCCCCCCCCCCCGAACACCTTCCCCGTTTGTTGCCCCGGATTTACCCTGTTGTCTGTTTACAACAACCCGCTAAGCGCTCCTTTTTGGTGCATGATATCAACCCCTGACAGCAAAACTTATATATTTACCACGGAGAATTGTGTGTTTTTTTTTTTTTCAACTATTCCCTGCAAACAGCAGGTATTTGGAGTAGGGGGTTCTGGTCAAATTAGCACGGCCTCACAAAGGTTCCGGTTTTCGAACAATCCTTGCTTGGGTGGTCCCCGATTTCAGAGTTCTGGGTTATTTTCATTCGCCCAACAGGTGTCCACTGCTTTGTTTCTGGATTGAGTTTCCATGTTCACATCAACATGTGCCCCATTGCCACCAAGGTCTATAGCTTCGGTGGTCTTCTGATGAATTTGTCGTTGTGTGTGTGTGTGTGTTTGTCCGTGTTTACTTGTTGTTCTGGAAATGACATGCTTTTAGTGAGGGCATGTCGGCTGACATCATACCCCAATACAAGGTCTGCAGATGGATTTTGGAGGTATGGATGCTTATATAGCATCAATATAAGCGCAGTACCGTAGTACATATATCTATATGACCCCAGCAATTGGGGGGCCCAAAAACTGGAGGCCATCCCCACGGTTCTCCTGAAAACGACAAAGAAATACCTGAACATGGCCTATGGTCAGCCATTTGCTTAAGAACATTTGTTGTTTCCCCTGTTGGTTCTATCACTACTGGAAAAATGTTCCCCCCCCCCCCCCTTAGAATCTCATTTTTTCGCTTACCGCTATCTACTACCGGGCTTTTTGAGGGAATCGTTTCACCCCAGGGGGGCAAAAGCGGCACATGGCAGTGGTGCAAGCCACTCGTTGGGAGGCCTGGGGAGACGACAGCTTCTTCGACGGCCAGTTCGTGCCGGCTCCCCGCAAGGCGCGAAAGCCGAGAAGATGTGGATTCCGGATTTTTGTTCATGTTTTTTTGGTGAGGGTTCCCCTTTCAACTTGTGGATTTTGTTTTTTTCGTTTGTTTTTTTTTGGGGGGGCTAAGGGTTTCCCTTTAAACTCGTGGATTTCGTTCCTTTTTCTCCATGTTTGTTTTTTTGGGTAAGGGTTCCGATTCCTTTCAACTCAACCAGCAAAAAAGGGTGCCGATTTGTTTTCCCCCATGGAAATCTAGAGTGAGAACACCAACAACCGCTATTCACCTGCTGTATCTATCTATATATAGTGGATTGCAGAACCGCCCTGGGAAATAAATGCAGTTTTACATGCCTGCAAGCATTGGGAATATCGATTTAACCTCCACAAATGGCTGGTCCATGGACTGAACGAATCCAAAGGCCCAACATGACCTTTTGGAAACACATTGGCTTGTCCCCACCAAAGGACGAAGGACCAAACAGCTCGTTTTTTTTTGCGGAAAACGGAGGGAGCAACCCAGATGGAGCTGCTGTCTCATTCCAGCGGTCCGCTTTGGCGTCGTTTGGCTCCCTGGATACCTTTGCGTTTTTTTTAGGGACCATAGGAAACAGATCCGGTTTTTGAACAGGAACGATGGTTGAACAGAATGGGGAATCACCCCCAAGAGTTTTTTTTTGGAGTTGTTTTGAGTTTTCGGAGGAGTGCTCCAATGTGGTGAGCTTCGAGTACATCAACCCCGAGACGGCGCTCTTCGAGGCAATGGGGTCAATTGCTATCCACGCAAGCTCCAATCCGAGAGGTGCAGCAAGGTGTGACTCATCTCGCTTCGCCAATCCCCGCTTTTTTTCCGCATCAATGGGCACCGGTAGGACTTGGACCTACGACCTTCCGCCTGCGGCCATGTCAAAGTTGTGAACCAACAGTCTCATAGCGGCGGAGCCACGGGCCCTTGACTCATTGACACCACGTGGACTTGACGTGTTGCTGGTGGCAAACTTGAAACAAAAGGACAACCACCCAAAGTGGGGGGACCCAATTTAGATGATGAGCTGCTCCCGAAGGGTGAGCATTGATCCAACCAGTGGCAACTGAATCACGGAGTATGCACATTGTATCATGTGGGACCCCCCTTGTATTGGTGGCAGAAAGTGTCATGGTACATGATGTCAACCAAAGGGTCCCCAACCAAATTTAACTCTTTTCAGTCTGTCTGACTGGGTTCGTGTTTTTTGAGGCTCGGTATCCTTTGCACCCTGGTTTGAAGGCAAACCGATAGGAACGGCGGAATCCATGTTTGGTGTCCACAGGCAAGTCTATATATTGCCAAGTCTATTGCGAGGTCACAGTTGGGGGTAAACCGAGAGCATGATGTACCCTCTATCCAACAATCATGCAACTGGACACAAGGGGCTGCGCCAAAAGGAAGTCTTTCAATCCCCTCCTGTCGGTTTCCATGATTGTTGGGCGCCCCAAGAGGATACCAATCTGAAAAGTGGTGACCAAAAAGGTGATGTTTAACAGGCTGAAAACTAGACATAAGGGGTGCCCTTTTACGTTCCATTGGCCAGGGTCAGCTCAATCTTCCAAATGGCTACCCATGGAAATAAATATATTCACTCCCTGAATGCATGGACTTTCAAACCAAGGTGAAGCCTCAACAAAGCCAGCTAGACAGACTGAAAAGAGTCAATTATAGTTGGGGCCCCTTTGCCTGACATCAACTTTTCGGGACTTTCAACTTTTCGGGTAGACCATTTTGCTGTTTTTGTTGGTTTTTGTGTGTTTTTTTTTGATGAAACAGTTTGACGTTTGTTTGGCCCGTTCGCCGAGTCCTTTACCTGGGCGCCCCCCGACGGCAGCGGTCTGGATGCCGATGGCTCCACTGCGGCGTCGCTGCCGAGGGCGGGGAGCCTGAGGGAGGTCGTTCACTTGGCGGCGGGTCAAAAATTGGGTAACCCCCAAATGAGTCATAATCAATACCTGGTACAAAAATGGTCGACCCAGAACCATGTAAAGAGTTAAGGCGGCCGCAGCTTTGTATGGCTGGGATTCTCCCCTACTACCCGCCAATTACCCGGGTTTTGATTGTGGCTCAAATGGAGCCCTAGTAAGTGGAAGCATGGACCACATGCCCGCTTTCAAGGGCTGATCAACCCCCTACGAACAATGGGATCGGTGTTTACCACGGGAAACCGCCGGTTTTGTGTCTTAAGCACTTTTAAACAAGAGGGTCTTTGGAGTGGGGTGTGTGTTTTAGCTTGAGGTTGAGGTAGAGAAAACAAATCACCAAAAGGCAAGATTGCTCCGAGCTACAAATACTCGACGCCTTTGTATTCATGAGGGTACCCCCTTTTTGGGTAGCTTCAAGGGAAACCGAAAAGGACACCGATCATGTTTTGGGGGTCCGCCAAACAAAAGACAAGGCACCCATATGGGTTGTCCCCATGTCTCCATCGGTGGTTGTGACCATCACCTTTTGGAAAGACCGCTTGGGCTTTCTGTTTGAGTGGCAAACCAAAATTCATCAGGCAAGCCTTAGTTGGTGGTTTGGAATGGTGGTTTGGATGTGAATCCCTTCTACCAGGCAAATGGGTGGTTTCCCTGCTTGACTTGGTGTTGGCTGATTGGTTCTGTCAATGTTTAGTTGGCCAAGGGTATGTTGTGTTTCATCTTTGATTGTTTTTGGTTTGGTTCAGTTTGAAAGGGGGGTTGCAACATATATAGGAACCGGTCTTTTTTCCTTTAATTTACACCAGCCGTGTTTATTGAAATTCCTCATTTTAGTTTATATGTTTTTTTTTTCTCGCAGATGAAGCGAGCAAGTAGGTGAGTGAGCAACTGGTGGTTGCAAAGGAGAAAACAACTCGGTCCCGTGTTTTTGTTGAAATCACCCTGGAATTCATGTTCTTTTTGGAATCACATTTTTTCAAATAACTCCCGA